TCCAAGGTTCCCTCCTGTTCTCGCTACTCGGAAATAATTCCCAGTCGGGGACGCCAAACAAGCGACATTTCTTCCACTCGGTTCTTTTACAACCGTCGCGAATTTTATAAGGACGCGCGTTTTTACGCTTCGGAAAAGAGGTCGGCATACGTGCGACGATGAATCGAAAGAAGGAATCCCGAACAAGAATAAAATGCGCTTTCTTTTTTTTTAATCTTTTCTCGTTTCTTGGACAACCCACGCATCACGGTGCCACGCTTTGCTTCAGAGGCTGCGGCGAAGACGACTCCATTTAGGGGAAGAAAGCTCTGCAACCTTATAGGACCATCGATTCTTTCCATATATACTTCTTCCACATATACGGGACCCAACCGGCGACCGAGATAGCTACCCCCACGCGATCCGAACGTTTTTCATCCGTTACACTCTGGCTTCTCGGGGAACGGTCAAGCTTTCGCTTTGTCTTTGACCAACGGACGCACGACGACCGTTTCGACTTCTTTTCTTTATATTAGAGCCAAGCCGCTTCCATGTATGCCGTAAGTTGGGAAAAAGCAACAAAGCTGGACGAATGTATGGATGTATACACTTAAAATGTCCCCTTCTGCCTCGAGATGAGGCAACTCTAGAGGCAGCAATGGCTTTCCACGCTCTTCATTTCTGTTTTAAAGCGGTCGCTTTGATAGTTTACCCCTCGTTTTTGTTTTTACTTCTCCTGTCGTTTGTTACTTTTTAGTACTCGGCCCGTAGCCACACCTTTTGGCAATCTTCGTACACCTTGAAAGTGCCGGCCGAAGTCCGGAAAAGAAACGGAGGATAGATGCATCCTTTCCAGACTGAGCGCGATGTTATTTATTTATTTTTTTTTCTTTCGTTCTTTCTTTATTTCTTTATTAAAATAAAGGCAATTTGGCGGGAAAGATAGAGTGTAGTATATTCTTGGATGAATCTCCAGGGTCCGGATCCTAGTGTAGTGCAATCCTTATTGTATTTTTCTTATTTCTCATTGTTATATCTTCCCACTTCTCGTTCTCTTCTTCGTCTGCGCAAGCTCAAACACGAGGAACGAATAAAATCCCGCCCAACTTTTCCGATACAGCAGACTTAAACCAGCACTCTCTCGCCCGACCTCCTGTCCAAAGTTTCGTCCACCTCTTGTTATTTACGGCGACCGTTTGCCTCTTTTTCTTGCTTATGCCGTTGCGCAACCCTTCGCCATTTCCGCCTTCTCTTTCTCTTACCCCCCCCCCCCTTCCCACCTCCGCAAGCAAACACACACCCGCTTGCTCTACCTTACGTCGGTGTCCGAATCGTAAAAAATTGATGGGCCTCAGTATGAGGATTCTCCACGCGGAGAGCCTCCGATGGTTGCGAGGTTTCTTCGAGAGTTCATCTCTTCGTTTCCTTTCTTCGCGCAATTCCTCGAAATTATTCTTCCCTAACTCTCTGTTTCTCTCCGTTTCTTTGACTGATTTCTATTTTTGCTTCCATTCGGTATTTCTGCGAGAAAAAAAAAAAACGTCCTCTTTTACATGTTCACTTCGGAGGTGAAGGATTCCAGGAGGACCAGTCGTTGGAAGCGGATCGTACTGTAGTCTACTCGAGTTACGTGGTATGAATGCGGCAGGTACGGCCAGAAACGGTTGAAGGTTCATTATTTCTCGCTTTTTTTAAAGGATCAAGAGAGAGAGAATAAAATGAGGGAAGGGCAGGGAGGTTAACCAGAAATTGGAGCATCCGGTTCGCTACCCTGCGCTAAGAAAAAGGAGAATGAGGAATACAGATGGGAAAGAAAGCGAAGAGCGATATAGAAGCGGAGCAAGAATTTTCTTTCTTTTACCAACTCCAATTGATGCATCTCGTGAAGCTAGTGTTGTACGCTAATTGCGACAGTATATATGAACGGTCGGTAATATTAACCGGGGGTTTCACTCAGCCTTAAAAGCACATACAATCGCTCTTAATTCACGTGTTCTCGTAAAAGTGCGTTTTTGAGTGAACAGTATAGTCGGGAAGCAGAGTGAACGAAACGTCTGAATGCGCTACTCCACTATCCGTGGTATATCCGCCCCATAGATTAGTCTTAACAAAAGGTCTGATTTCTTGTCTCAGGTGGCTTAAAGTGTATGTGATTTTTTTTCGTTCGGGAAAATATTAACAAAATAGCTCCCCGTTGATACGTCAGCGCGTGCATTGCTCGTGATTAAGAGTTGTCTAGCGCGACGTGGTGCGGATCGAAGAGTCACTGGTTCGAATGCCGGTCTATATATATATATATATATATATATATATATATATATATATATATATATATATATATATATATATATATATATATATATATATATATATATATATATATATATATATATATATATATATATATATATATATATATGTATGTATGACACTGTTCAATGTGTTCGTGTAGTGTAAGCTTTTGTACATTGGTATGGGGAACAACTAAGCTGGCAAATCTGCACAGCATCGTCATGAGAGAAGAAATGATTGACGACGGCGTCGCTAATGTTTCCTATACTCATCCCACTCGATAACTGCTATGAAGTAATAAACGCCACATTGAATTATAAGTACAACCTCTGTTGTGTTCATTCTTCCCAAATTGAAGTACTAACAGCATTTTAAGAAGTTCTTGCACTTAAAAACAAAAATGAATGGGCGATACTAAATAATTACACACCACTAGAAATTATTGGTACTGCAATGGCGCACTACCTATAGGGCAAACAAGCGCTGGCTTTGAACGTACCTCTCTTCAAGATATATCAGAAACAGGGTATTGAATTTAGCTACATTGGTAAAACAAAAAGTTGCCCGATTTTCTTTTCAAGCCTGACCTTCACTAAACAGAACTATCAGTTCCTACTACTACTACACATTACATACATAGTATAGCGTAATAACTTCGCCTAATTGTGTGCTAATAATTGGTGTAATAATATAGAACTGTTAAAATCAATCGTGTTTAAGTACACTATCCTACGTCAATATTTTTCAGCACAATTATTTTTCTTTTTCCACATCTTTAAAGCATATGTTTTGTGTTTACCAGTGTTTGTATTCTTAATTTGTTTGTTACGCTAGTCGAAATATCCTTTGATTACTATAAGAGTGCGTATGAACAAAAATGTATGTCAGCACTGCCTATTACGGGCCTCCAGGTACATTTAAGCTTCATTTTCGCCTCTTTTTGCCTGGGGTGACCTCCAATAACGACTGTTGGAAATAAACTTTGGCGATTCTTGATTCTTAATACGCATGAGACAGGTACACTTCCAAGGTCCACATTTTCAGAGCCACACTTACAATGCCAACGACATTCGTGAGGCGATAGATGCTGGACCTGAAAAAAAATATATTCTGTACTTTACAAAACGTCATCCACGTACTTCTCCCAAGCGCAACCTCATCGACGTCCTCAATTCGCTATTAACCGAGTTTGAAGCGACAACGTTGAAAGCTTTGTCTCGTTAAAGTTTGAGTCTCGTTTTTATTTCTTTTCTTTTTTTCACCTCTGTTGCGACCATGACTCGGGCACATGACAGAGGATAGAATAGTGCCCACACTTTTCGGCACTTCCTTTTTTTTTCCACGCCCTCGGGAATAGTGTCCAGCGCTCCACGAGAGCTCCGGTTCAAGTAGAGCCAGCGGTGCGACGAGAGGTGTGCCACAGAGGCTCCGCTGGGAATCTCCACTAGGTTGCGACGGCAGAGCGCGGGCCGTCTGAAGGCCCACTCGACCGTTCTTCTTCATCACGCTCACACCTTCTCACGCCGCGTTTGCTTTATCTTCCATTGTTTTTCTAAGAACCTATCCACAAGGCACTGCCGTGTGGCGAAAGAGAAATGTTGTGGCTTGAATAAGTGAGCCCCTACGTTCACGGCCCTTGGCAGGGGGGGGGGGGGAGGGGCAAATGCGAAGTGCGTCAGAAAGAAGTGACTAAAACGACAAAAAGAGTAAGCTAAGAAATTTCGAAGACGTCGAAGGAGGCGGCCCGGGTGAGACAACTTGAATGGCTTGCGGAATTTTCGTTGCGTTTACAGAAGATGCGTAATTTGTGTGGTTATATTTCTGCCGTCGTTATGGTAGTCGCTAAACCGCGTGCGTTTCATTCACTCACTCTTTAACGCAAGAGGACGGCCCTACGTTTTTTTTTTTTTCTTGGTGCGTCTGCTAGGTAGACTCGTGCCTCTGAAATACGAAGTACCCGAGGGTGCACGCTGTGGCAACATCGGGTTTCATATAGCTCTTCGTGAAGACTAAAACGAAAAAAAAAATGTTCTCTGAAATTTCTGCAGTGTATTTTTGCGTCGTGTTGGAGCTGTTGCGTAACTCAAAGTGGCAGCTGTGTTTCGTTGAACAGCGCTGGCGTCGTCCCTCGAGATCGTGTTCGGCTTCGTGTTCAGCCAAGTTGCGACACTGTTCCAGTGTCTTGCCGCCAGGTCTCCGTTCTTGGCACGTTTGCGGTCCCTACGAGAGAGTTTATATCAATCTTACTTTTTTCATAAAGGGTGCGATATTGCGCAACTTATTACATGCCGGCTGTGAGGTCCGTGCTTAGGGCAAGCAGTTCATGGAGCGCTTGAAGGCATAAGAGTTTCATATAGATAAGTTGAGGGAACTCTGGCGCTAGTGTATATGGGAGCACACTAAATGTACAATTTTAGGGGTAGGTAGGGGGGTCGGGGGGGGGGGGGGGAGGGTAGTTGTTTAGCAACTCCAATGAACTCCTTTGGGCATATACTCAGCGTTTATAAGCAGCATATGTTTACACTTAAAGCAACTTGCTTGTTTACTTTGAGTAACGATCGTTTATGCATTAATGGTGCTTAAGCGAAAAAGCAAACAAACATGGCCACACGGAATTATTAAGGGGCAACATGAACGTCAGTCCTCAACCGCATATATTGCTCAAAAGGAACAGGATACGATACGAGCACGACTACAGCCTCTCCTACTATTTGCCCTAAACTCTGCAGGTCGGCCTGCCAGCATGGAGGACCTGATCGCCGAGCAGCTGGGCGTCATGTGCTTCGAGCCGACCGCGTCGGCCGTCATCGGTGGCCTGGCGCTCTTCCTGGAGGTGTTCGGGTTCGGCACCTGCCTCGTGTTCGCACTGCGCAGGCGCAAGGGACACTCCTCGGACGAACCCATGTGCTACGACAACAGCGTCGAGGGATCCACGGATTTCGCGTGCTCGGCGCCCTACTGAGGCGCTCCCCATTCGTCGACACCGAATACGCGTCCTTGCGGTACTTGTGTCACCGGGGTGCTGCTGCCTGGTTGTCTTCTTCGTCAAAGACCGTTTCATGCGCTTCCACTGATTCTCACGGGGTCAAGCGAACGGGTTCACAAAGTTTTTCTTAACGTAATATAACGTAAGCTTCGCCGCTATGCTTAGTGACCGTACAGTGAGAGCACGCTCTACAGGCAGACGGTGGTTCCTATTTGTGCGCTTTCACGTAGGACACATGTACAGACAATAGCACTGAGGATTAGAGGACAGACAAGAGTTCTTAGGTTGGCTAGTTGGTTCGTGGATGTTGTGACAGAACAGCGTAGAAAATGCGACACTGAACGCACAAAACACAGCGCTAGTGTCCGGCAGGGCTGTGTCCAGCTGTGTCCTGTGTCCAGTTTGCTGTGTCGTTCTGCCCCGAGTAGAATAGAGGCTTCTGCGGATGGTAATTCACGGCAAAACAAGCATGGCATTAAAGATAGAGACGCAGTTACAAAAAAGGAAACGAAAAGAAAGAAAGAAACATTCGGCGCAACATTTCAATTTCATCCTTGTCAGTGCAAACATCGTATGTAATAAGCCGTGCGAACCAGCAAGAGCAAAGAATTATAAGGACGCTATCAAGCAGAAATTGTTACACACCAACTATATATCGGTAACACGAGGCCTCTAAACTGATGCGTCTGTCCTTTTTCTTGAACGAACACCTCATGTTTTGTAAGGCTTTCTTAGAATTGGGCTACGCCACATTTTCTTCGTACTCGTCTTCGACTTTTTGATCGCTTGTCCTTTTCGTTAGCAAAAGCCTTTCTTTTATTTTCAAAACTGAGCCGTAACCTTCGCACGACGAAAGTTTAAGCGACTGGGTCGCTTTCGCGAGCACGTGCAACTGGTGTATGTGTCACTATCCTGGCAATATCTGACGTTGTTCAACAAAGTACGCTGTCGGCAATAAGGCAGTTTCAAATATTACACTCCGCTACGCGCGCCGAAATAGTCAGACAAGAATCTGTAACATATTGTCGAAAAGTTCAGCGGTCACTTTTTCCTTGTTGTTCGCATGGCGAATGCCAACATTGATACCCCCCTTCGCCAGAAAGAGGGTGGTTTTACCGGTGATGATCATTAGGCATCATTATCGCCTACGAATGGCGTTGCGAAACCGGTCGCAGGTTCTTGTGAGAAAGTGCTATTGCGATTTCTGTGCTCTTGCTTCTCGTTCCCGTCTTCTGTGGCCTTGTTTTGAATCGGTCAAAAATGTGCGTTGACTAAGCCATGTTTGGCTAAAGGAGCTGGTACGTCACTGCATCTAAGTGGTCGTAGCATGGAGCTATAACTCTATGAAGCCTTCCTCACAAAGTGAGTACATCGGCGCTGAACGAAGCCAAATATTATTGTCCAGGAGTCCAGTCAAAGTTAAGAGTTAGATGATACGAGGTCAGGCGCTTTCTTTCTTTGGACATTATTGCTATCGTGGTAAGATCTTGCCAGGGTCTCCTTGATCGCTAAGTAAGAACTAACTCTCATTAAATACCAGCTGTAATAAACTTTGCATGGAGAGCTTGTATGGAGATTTGTAGATTAACGTACAATTGTGAATTGAATATTCACATTAATAATGACTTACGAAGGAAAACATAACAAAACTAGCCCGCGTGACAGTGCAACGCTCTTACGCAAGACCCGATGGGGGTGACATTTGCATGTACGCCAACGTAATTTAACTGTGCGTCTCTCAGGGCACGCAACAAAAACATCATAGTGGCAATCATAGAACCACGTTGTCCTAGTTTAGCTGTAGAATGAGTAGAAAACACAAAGAAAACACTGCTACTTTGGGAACCTGACCTCGTCTGGTCTAGCGGGTGCAGCGGACTGAAGGCTATCGCGGCGTCCTGGCCTGGCATTTCGGCCAAGTTGTTGCGCATACCGGCCATGGCACCGACAAATTATAGAAACACAAGCATCTCTCCATTTTCTTCTGCACACCTTTTCGCAGAAGGCTTCCTAGGTGGTGCCACAATCGCCTGTGCGCTGTGGTAAATAGGCGCGGCCCACCGAAAACGCGCTGCCGGGGCAGTGACGCCAGTCTTTATACTCCAGTGCATCAGTCCAGAAAGGAGGTGTTTTTTCTCTCCCATGAAAAAGGTCTACACAGTACAAGCGGTATCACTTCCGGAAAACGAAGGTCGATAAACAAGGCGCCAAGTTTTGTAGTGTGCTTCGGCTGGAATGTATCGGTACGAACCCTCAATCTGCTAATAGCGCAGTCACGAGGAGCACAGAATTTTTAGTTGTGTGTTTACTTGTGCAAATACCTAGCTAGCTAACAGCGCGGGTTCAGGGCGGTGGACGCTGCTCACGCAGGTGCAGTTGTAATTCACGACACTAGTGATATGGTCTTTAGTATCTTTTCATTTAGGCTGTATTAACTCGTGCGAAATTACTGACGCTATTTTCGAAAGAACGTGGCGTGGTTCAGCGACAGTGACTCATGCTTCGGAAAAGAAAAAAAAAACAGGAGAAGGTATCGCAAACAAGCTACTTGAGGCGCGATTCTATGCAGCTGAGCTATATAAGGTTAGCGCTGGTGTGTGAACCCGCGTCCAAAGTTTCGTCAGAATATCGGTGATTCCACCAATAGAAGTTTCGTTTCATTACCATCGGTTGTTACTTTCAGAAGCAGGTGGGGGGCGATATTTTTCCAAGCATAAGATACGGCCATCGTTTTGGGGCTTTAATTGCAGAGAGGTATTTCAACTCGCAGGCTGAGCGACTATAAGCCGTTCCGGAGGAACGCGTCCCTGGTCTTCTACTATCAGCCTAACGGTCATGCCTCCTTTCCTTCACTCCTGACTTGCGCGTATTCGCCAACTTCAACGACTCGGCGGGGCAAAGTCAAGATTACACTGATTTATTTAGGTACAATCTAAATCATACTTGTCTAGAGTGGTCCAGCGCTTTTGGTTCTGAAGTCTGGCGCCGCCCGCACATGCTACTTCTCGTTAGGTGCAGGCCTCCACTCATGCTTGAAATATAGCACAGAAACCTAGCATTCGGCGTGGCAATCTCTTGTGTCCTTCTGGTGTTGGTACTGGCGCATTTTCGCGAGGATTGGCAGCTAAAGCGGCTGACCAGCCTCTCTAGGCGAATGTGATTCAGACAGCACCGTCGATTCTGACCATTCGTGTTTGTACCGTGTTTTCTCATTTGTACGGACCCAGAAATTTTGGGTGGCGTGAGTATGTGCGCTATCAAACGAGGCTTCTCGTTTGAGACAATTTGATTCGAAAAGTGCCAATCAGGCCATAGTTTCAGTTTTCGCAGCTGCACTTTTACAAAGGTGGCCCAAGTATGCACTGAAACGCACGCCTTTGAGTCTGCTTTGAAGATAACAATGCAAAAAACGACGTTGATGTCACGGTTGGTAATCAAATGAGTTCTTAGCCTGATTGATGGTTGATAAGTGGCGCAAGAACACTTCTGAATGCGCCGTTCTAACGCCTGCAAAAAAGGTCCGCCTACTTCACCATACTTCAACAACAGCGCCAGCGTATGTTGATGTTCCGCTCGCTCACGTATTCGTAGAATTAAGTTTTTTTTATATAGCACAGTCAGGCGCAGAAATGTTCCACACTAGGAGTAAAGTAAGCGAGTCATCAAAAGCTGCAAGACAAATATTTTAGAAAACTCCTCTTTTCATTACTTTGCGATGTACGCTAGCTTCAATGGTTACCCCTGATGCTTACAACCACTAGCATAATGTCTTTTTGAAAGTGATATGACCATTCGCCGTTCAGGTATATCATCGCACACTGTCACCATAAAGATCATCGCCACGTAGTTTTGATTCATTAAGGATTGAAAACAGCTCTCCTATTTAGGAAGGTCCGCAGAAAGTGACCGTTCCGCGTTCTTCCGTCTTTTTGTGTTGATGTAGAGAATCACTAGCATCTCAATGGTTGATGCGTGGTAGTTACGGTATCATGCCACTTACACACTGAACGCTGCTCAAAAGGTTATTGAACCCACCGTACCATTAATAGCCCTCCTTAAGTCAAGCCAGCCACTTTGGCTTTGACACAAGCGACGCACGCAGTTAAAGAAGAAACACATTGAAAATGACCTCCCGTTTTCACCTTGTGTGTCATTTTCACAGCTTTCTAGCACAAAATAACAGACGAAACAAACTATTTTCACGACACAAGCGGAGGTCAGCCTTAATTGAGCCACTGTCGGTGACAGCGCATGCCAATATCTCGCGGTTCCTTTCCCCGTATACCACTGTCACTGCGCTTCTGCAACAGCGTGCCATCTCCCCTTGTACAATAACATGCTGTCTGCCCTCATAAATTCTTAGTGTATCACGCATTTCACGTTGTTTTGTATCGCGCCTTCTTCATTGTGCTTCTCGTTTTCTTTCTCTCTTTCTCTCTCTCTCTCTCACTTCAGTAGTATTGTCAGTTGGATTCTTGTGCGTCGCTCTTGTGCACATCACTACGGGACTTTGTGATAATAATAAAAAAAAAACTGTTCCAGCAAAACACCGCAGGGCTATCTGCTGTGTCCACGGCGTTAGTTGACCCTTTGTACTCGAACAAAAACGTGGGCTGAACTGGAAAGCGAGATGACGAAAAAGAATTGCGACGTCTATTTGAAAGGAAGGTGGCAGTAAAACGTACCGGCCCAAACACGACGTCCCTCGTTGTTGCTGTTGGGCCCCTTGACGTGTGAAATGTCCGCCCAAAGACCTCAGGGCTGGCCCTGCGACTTGCATTTTCAACGTTGTCATGGGCGCAACAGTAGAAGACAACCCATCGCGACGTGACATGAAACGGGCGAAGTTATAGAAGAGCCCCCGGGTGGAGGTTGGGTGGCTTTCGGACCGTATTGGCTCCGTATGTGGCTTCGCGCGACCCGCGTTTCAACGAATGTCCAGCGAAGAAATAGACTTCCGGGGGGTGTGTTTTTCCAAAACATACCCGTCTTCTCTTTATGCATCCGAAGAGATGGTGTATTCGAACTTCGTCTCGTAGCAGGAATACAAACAAACTCGCAAACGACTCCGTCCACGCTGTTATATTCCCAAGAACCCGTCGCTAGCGTTAG